AATAACAATTCTGTTTATTTTAATCCATGTAAAGCATTTGGAATGGCATTTAAAATATATATTTTCAAATCCAATCAGATTTGATTCCCTGCACTATCATGCTAAGATCTGCAATTGAGTGCCACTGCACTTGAATACAAAATACCTCCACAGTGCTTGTAGTTTCCAATGTTTTAGAAGTGCATCCCACTACCCCGATGTTTGTCTATTTTGTGAAATCACAAATGAAAGATCTGAAATTGAATTAAATTGTTTGACTGCACTTTGGATTGTGTTGTTTCAGTCCTGACTTGTCCAAAGAGATTGTTCATGAGCACAAAATATTCCGCCATGGGTGACAGTATTCATCTGCGGTTACCTTTATTCAACCTCAGATTACTTGTCAAAAATGGCAATTAACAGTTTATATTATTGTAATTCAATGTGGACTGCGGAGACGGGCACAACCGAGACCTTGGTCTTGCGCAGTCACATGATGCAGATTAATTTACAATGCCTTCTCCTTTTGAGAGAGAAAGTGGTGATTTGTGCACGGGAAAAATTACGGGTACCATGAATGGTAAATGTGGCGTCATTTGTGTGTCACTTTATACCATTTCAACATCCCTGAAATGATGTGACTGCCAGCCGTGTCCTGTAACCATTTATTATCCGGAAGAATGACAGACCTGTAGGCACAGGGCAAGCATTGGATATATCCCCAACCTATATAGGGTCCAAAAGGACGGAATCCCATATAGCCCGTGTCTCAGGTTATTATCATTTTTATTGGTCTTGGTTTGCTTTGAATTGTAACAAGTTGGAAGAGAAAATGCTACTTGTACCTGCATTCGAGGCCCCAAAACCATCTCGCGTTAATCGCTTGTACACATATTTTAAAAGTTGTTTTTTTTTCGACAGGTGAAGGCAATGTATTTTTAGTGTGTGGCAGCTACGGTATGATGTGGGTTTGTCCTTGAATTGTCTGCCACTAGAAGGATGGGAACAGCGTGCGGCACATCTGTGCCTACAAGTGGATTATTTTGAAGGACCCGATATTCCGAAAAATAGAATCTTGTGCAAAACAACTCCTTATACATGTTTCTTCGTATATGACTGTGGGGGGCAGGGGGGGGGGGTCTTTGCTCTCGCAAAACTCATCTATGTTCATTTTTTTAAAAAAATGAACAGGTAAACATTTGTGATGTGTGTTTGGTTCCTACTTCCGCTGTCATTTAAAACTGGACAAATTATTGAACGTATTTTCAAGCATCTTGTTTTTCGATCGCCGCTGAAACCTGACTGGCAATGCAGTATCTAATCACAGCTACACATTAATCCTTGTATGCTAATGACACCATGAAGAAGCCAATAGGATTCAATTCCCACAGTCAGTTACAGTAACCAATATTTCCGTCAGCACATCCTGAGCACACAGATTAGGAGCACGCTATTGACAAAAGCTAATTTGGTGGAGCAACCTCCGAAGAGGTGGGCTTCATTTCTCTTGGGGTGCTAGCCGAGCAGACTATTTGTCATCATTACCATTAGCTACCGGAACTGACCCATAGATCCTGTGTCCACTGCGTGGTGCTACTTTTTTTGTCTTTTTCTCGACAGCAATAAAACACTGTTAATTTTGACCCTGGGTTGCAAATCTCAGCCGCGAGACACGCCGTCTTTATCGAAGACACCCGGCCGAAAGCACCGACGCATGTTGGCACGGACGGACGCGCACCGTGTAACGAGGACGGATCTTCCCCGCGCCTGTTAAGAAACCAAATCACTGGCGGGAGCACGTAAACCATAGCAGGGTGGCCCTGATTCACAATCCACCTGAGGCATTCTGCTCTCGTGCAATCTACCAAACTGTGCGGGCCACTCCTCTCCTTGCCCACTAATCCTTTTTCAATCATGCACTTTTTGGATTATGCCCCCATGTAATTCGTTTCAGGTATTGTTTTATAACTTAATATGATATTTCAATTTCGGCGAGTTGGCGCCCGGGCTTAGAATAGCACGTAGGATCGGATCAACGCTGCAGGTCTGCTTGCAGCAGATTGGAGCCCAGGGTTAGAGCCGGGCCGATAAGCGCAGACACTGACCTGATTCGCTCCTTCGGCCCATCCCATATTGAAATGGGAAGTGACTTTTCACTTTGGGACCGGTCCCTGAAGGATGCACATTATTGACCTTTATCATACAGACAAGGGCAATGTTTATTAAGGGCATTATCTAGTCAATAGCTGAGTTTTCTACAGTACTTCACAGGGCCATCGGGTTTTAATATATACTCATAGTTCATCCATAATACTATTTCATTGCTGTTTGACTGCATTTCAAGAGCCCGCCACATACGCTCCGTTTGTTCAAGGCTCAATCCTAGAATCAAAGGAATCCGCGGATTAACCACCCAACAATGTATCTTGAGCGGACCTTTCATACGGCGCCATAGTATTTTGGTCTGTACTTAAACTGCCTCTTTGTTAGCTTGCTGTCGTGCACCTCTCTCTTGTCACAGAGTGAATTAGAAAAAGAGTTCATGACGGGCAAGCTGCCCTCGGGCTAAGAGACAGACACAAAGAGAGAGACGGCTGCAAGGAGAGCTGTCTCCACCGTCCCCACCCTTGACGAGTCCAACAATGGTGAACCAGCAGCGATCATGCTTGTTTGCTTTTGAGCTGCCACACTTGGTTTGTTGTGTTGATCCAGGACAGGGATTAATTGCTGTCAAAATCCCCTAATATTCTCCCTGGGATATCCATAATTCTACACAATGACACTGCTTAAATATGTTGAAATGTGAACATCTGCTATCTGTTTACCATGGAGGCCTCTGGGCGGCACATTTTTTTGCTGATTTCCTCCATGATTTGCTTCATTAAAACCTCTGTCACCATTTGCTTCCATGGCTAAATTCCATTCATAGTCTTCATATACCCGTCGTATATGTAAAAACCCATGATGCTGTTTAGTTGCTGTAAACCCCCGTGTAACTTGACTTTAAACCAAACTTTCTCAGCGCAAGACACAAAAACAACTATTAGGATGCAAAAACCAAATTGTTGCATCTGCTTATCATTTTTTAAAAAAAGTATTATGATGTGCAGATTGTTGGGGATGCTGTAACGGGAAATAAACTTGTAAGTTAAGACACCACTGCACTTTCGACAGTCACATCTAAACAGACTTTATACAAGACACTGGCGAGCAATAGCAACAGTGCAGCAATTCCCTGGACTGCAACTGTCCAATCACAAGCGTGAGCCTTGAATTCATTATAAATCCATTGATAGTTTTTTTTTTTTTAATCCAGTTTTATATTTGAAACACTTTCAAGAATTCTAAGATGCGGTCTGACTTGCACATATCAGTGATTGCAAAAAAAATAAAATAAATAAATAAATAAAACTAAAAACGAAAGTGTCACATTCTCCTTGCTTTATCCAAACTTGTGACATGCTGATGCCGAGACATCTTTGATGAATAAAACAAGTGCGGTTCAAGGTGGTGGCTCCCTGGCAGCTGCTGCCTGCCTGCAAAAGAAATCAACTTGAGCTGTCAAAGGCTCACAATGTCTGCATGCTTGCAGCCACTCGCCTCGCTCGCTCTGCGCCTCTGACGCCCCCCTCCCCCCCGACTCCCTCCCTTATGCCCCCCACCAGAGCGACTTAGAATGTTTGCATCCAGCAGAATCTACATTTCTGCAAACTTTTAAAACAACCGCACAGCTTGTGGGACCGTTCAAAGGCATTTTTTGCTCGCATTGTTGTCTCCGCCCGTGTGGTCGCTTCTTCAGGTGAGCCTGGAAGCTTTTTTTTTTTGCATCCGACGGGAGGGCGGACGCAAAAACTGGAGGCACCTGCGGTTGACATGTCGTAAAGGGGATTTAGGCGGCTGCAACAGGCGGAATGGCCGCTTCTCCGCGGGCTTCTGAGACCAAGGTGAGAGGCTTTCACCGAGCCTTTCTTTCCTATGCAGTCGTGTCTTCAGTGGCTGTTGGGAAACTTCTGAAGCTTTGCTTTTAGATGCGCGCCGAGTAGGGGAGGCGATTCGTGGTCAGCTGACAGTTTTAAGACGCACGTTTATCAAAATGTATTTATTCTCATTATATTACGTAAAATCGTTTGACATTGTGGTTGTTTTTTTTTTTTTTTTTTGCGCTACAGCTATGAAAGTTTATGCGGTCTCCCTATGTGGAAATGTGGAAAGAAGTCACGAGTACGCCACGTTTAGGGGGGAACTGCATGTATTACCTCACATCAAAGTATTTTTTTTGCAATGTACTCATAGGTAATATGTGTCGGTAGATTAAATGTACATCTCTAGATTTTGATATTTTAAATGCTGCCGATATTGGCTATATTTCTTTTTTCACTGCGGTGTTTCTTTTTTAATGTTGCAATATGACCTATGACATTTTACAAGCAAACGTTCTTTGGCAATTCTTTGAAAGTCATCTACTTTTTAAATCAAACACGAGGCATTGCTGTTGTTAAATATGAGGCGAAATTTGATCCGCTATTTTGGTAATGCGTAGGAAGATTTCGCTCATGCGGAAACATGTTTTTTTTCTCCATCACAACAGAGTAACTTTAACAGCTCACACTTTGACAAGAGGGTCGACTCTCCCCGATTTTAGCCATTAGAGTGCACTGTAAGAATTGTATGCTAACCATTAGTATTTTTGCATGCACGTCAACGTTAGCGAACCAATTTTTTATTCTGTGAAATTGCATTTCCGTTTGATCCAATGTCCATTCACATCTGCGTTTAGTTATTTTTGAACAATCGAGGCGAATACACCACGCCGTTACATTGCACATCAATAGAATTGTTCTTATATTTTTTTAAAAAAATCAATATTATGATGAATATCCACTGTGAGCGTGCGTCCGAGTGGGTGGATTGGTGCTTGAGTGGGGAGGATATTTGGCGAGGTGAAGAAGGGCTGGAGAAGGAGGTTGGGTGGGGAGGGGAGAGCCCACCCATAGGTGCGCGCGGTGGAGGAGTTGCAAAAACCGAGCGTGCGCCCGGGAGCGCACCATCCTCCTCGCCGCCACATCTCGCATCGCCACCTCCCGAGTCCAAGTGAAGAGGTTGTGATGGGATTATCATCTCACTTCTATTGTGCGGGTCCACAACTCGGGAGAGGCGCGCGCGACCCCTGCGTCCACCTCAACCGTCTGTGCAGATATTGAAGTTTGTCATTACCGTCAGCGTTTCATCTCGATCCGCGATGGAGTGACACTTGAGGGACTATGATGGACGCACTGACTTCGGAGCTCGTGTCCAGAAGTGCTCCGGTTTGCATGACGCGCGGTGTCGAGTGAGCCCCCGGGACGGTCATCACTCATTTGTGTTCATGTGGCAGGACAATTCTGATCGTCCAAACAGAGCAATGGTGATGTGCGCAGCGAGCCTACCGAGACTGACGTGCGAACTCGCCACTTTGCGTCTCGTGCGAGAGCGCGTCTTAAAACGCGTCATTCTTCATTCGTGTTCATTCCGCTGAACTTGTTGATGAGCGCCGGGACCTTGGAGAGCATGTGCGCCAGGGGACTTTCAACGCTTGTAAGTGCATCCAATCTGTGCTTGTTTGTTTAAATAACGAGCGGGTTTGTTGTTAAAGCAACGTCTCAACGGATTAAAGTTTCTTCTCCCCGATAGTATCATTAGTGAACCAAGTCTTACAAGACTTGCTTGAAAAAAAATCGCTTTATTTTCTTTATGTATGTATGTATGTATGTATGTATGTATGTATGTATGTATGTATGTATGTATGTATGTATGTATGTATGTATGTATGTATCTATGTATCTATGTATTTATTGAATTTACTCACTCTCGTCCGCTATTTGTTCACGTGTCATTAGTGGCGCCCCCTTGTGGCTGTCGTCATCCATCAAGCATAATCGCATGTCTCTTCGACGGCCGCCTGGTACGGCATTAATTTGTCATCGTTTGAGCTGCCAGTTGTAGTTAGACCTCCTTTGGTATGTTTTAAGCAGGTGCTGTAGTTTGCCATCTCATTCAAATGCATGTTTGACAGTGCTTTAAATGAGCCATGCAGAGGTTAGGACGAGGCTGCGTGTGTGTTTGAGGGAGGGTATTAGTGAAATAAACTATTACTTGTGTTGGATTATTCTCAGGAATTACTCCTGTGGGTGGATAACTGTTGATGGTTATTAGAAACCGTAATTGCTTCAAAATTGGGGTTCAACTTCAGGGTTCAGGTTGAAGGCAACAACCTCTTACACGCTTAGTTTGTAATTACAAATAGCCCACTTGTTTGCATCAGGGTATGAAATCAAGAATCTACATTTCCATACGTTTTATAAATGTCTCAATGGATTGTTTCACTTTAGGCGGTAATTATTTTAAGTGATGTTCCAACCAGGGCTTGCTTGTTAGTAAAATACAAAGAGTCAGAACACTTCTTTTTTTTAATGGCTGATAAAATGTAATTTTGCTCTGTGTCGTCCTCTTGAGCCTGATTTGTTTCTTTTTCTGGTTTGTACGCCGTATTTCTTGCTGGACGCAAGCTACTTCAGTGAGCATCATCCTTCCAGCTAAAGTGGACCTTTTTGAGTATCCAGGCATGTCACTGTGGTTGCAGAGTAATGTGCATGCAGCCTTTTAGGAAAAGTGTGTTTAATTATGCATGAGGTGTTCCTGTGTCACAAAGAGAGCTCTGCTTGGTGACGGGGAGACGCAGAGTGGGGGTGACGGGTTGGGTATTTGTCTCGCCCTCTCATAAGGTGCCTGCCCGCCGCCACTTGTATGTGGCAGTGGAGTAACTGACGCCTCAGTGCTCTCGACTCAAACTTGGGGCAGCGTCGCCCTGTCAAAAGTGCTGCTTCGGCACAAACAGAGTGCATGTGTCAGACCGGCCCGCTCAAGGGAGGGCTGCTGTGCGTTTAGGATGAAAAACGTCACAGGCGGAGTATTGTGGCAGTCGGAGGCCAGTGCAGACAAGTGAGGTGTATCTTTCGCCGACACAAATTGACTGTCTTCAAAGGCCTCAGGCGTGCGGTTGCACTTGATCCCGGATTTGAGGAAGCTTGTTGCAAACACCAACCACCAGCCCTGTCACAGAAAGAATTGACTTGAGGACTTTTCTGTTGGTTTATACATCACAATGTTTTCCTGTTCCTGGGGGGGGCGCGTAACAGAAAATAATTGAGAAGCATGGATAACATGCTTGCTTCTCCTCATTTATCCAAACCCGACAATATCAGGCTTTTATTTTTGTATTTTTTTTTCCTTTTCAATTTGATTTTGTTCAGGTCGTGGGTCCTCTGAAATATGCGACACCGAAAACCGTTCCTTTCTGTTTCACGTTGACAAGAAATCTCGCAACAAGATGATATCACAGCCTGAAAAGAAGGCTGGAAACGGGCGGTATAGCACTACCCCCACCGACCACTCCATCAGCCGACTACTTCTCAGGCACTTAAACAGCCGTCAGCATTGCACCCACTCGCGATGGGCCGACATGATTAAAAGTTCATAAGGCAGCCACTTGTAGGCGGCGACATTTTCAAAAGTGGAAACGTGATGAGCTGACTCGAAGGCAAGCCCCCGGCATGCATTATAGGTGTGTTCCACACGAATGAATGGTGGGGCCAGGCTCCACTTTTTCCATGTTTATTCATGTGGGTTGCGCTTCTTTATTGGCAGGTTATTAACAACTAAGGCGGCGGAGATGGAAGCATCTCTCCTTATCTTTCTTTCATTTACCTCTGACTGCCTGCCCTCGCGTCTTTCTGCCCTTCCCTCTCCCGTGTTTCTCCTTTTGTGAGGCACAGGTGGAGAATATGAAACAGGAAGAGGCAGGAAAGATGAAAGCAAAAGAGGCAGGAAAGAAGCCGTGTCAGAAATTGGCCTTGAAAGCGCATAACATGCGTGAAATTAAAAATAAAAAAAGTGGGGATACATCCCTCACGTTGGTGTTTTACATTGATAGTAGATTTGTATAAAAACTATTGGGCATTACTAATTTATTTAATTGTTCAATAATAGTGCCGCCCTCACTTTTTATTTTTAATGCCAAAATGTACATTCGTTTTTCTTGTGTTCGATTATCTCTTATTTACGCACATGGTTTACACAAAAAAATCAAGTCAGTTCGTATTCCAATCTCCAATTGTCTGCGCTTTGTCCAGCCTCCTTTGGTTTACAAAGCGTAATAAGCAGGAGTGAGAAGACAAGTGAGGTGCCTTGTATTGCTTTATTATTGAGGTGGAAAACAAGACGCGCGTGCACATTTACACACGTGCAGCCACCAATCTGGCGAGCTCTTTAGTGTGCCCCTTAACACGGTAATAGTATGTCTCCAAATGGGAGACAGGGAGCTCAGTGCCAAGAGTTCTTCTGGATAATTGGCTGCTTCCTCACCCGCTGACTTCTCACCCATTCACATCCTCTTATTTTTCATTTAAGGGCCCCCTTAACCTCTCATCCCTTGAAAGCAGTTGGCTACTTCATTTTTTTTTTTTATTTCTTCTAATCATACTGTACCGCCTTTGTCCATCCTCTCATTGACTGATGATTTTAGTTGGTGCTGGTAACAGCTTTCATGCTCAACTTGTGACAAAGTTTTCTGCGAACTTGCTCGAATCGATCAGTGTGTGTGAGTTTGTACCAGAGCAGACCACCTGGATTCCAATAGATCCCAGCCGATAAGCGTACATGATGGGCCTTCCCCATTCCCAGGCTGGCTGTTGAATTAATGACATTTTATTTCATCCAGTGGCTGTACAAAATTCAACCATCGGGCTCCAGATACAATTTTTAACTATATATATATATAGTCCACTGAAAAAAATGACCTGGATCGAGTTGATTTTATTTCATGCAACCACTTGACAATTTCGAGTAAATTCAACAGAAAAAACTTTTTCTTCAGTGACTGAAAAAAATGTCACTCACTTCAATCCTCATCCCCATTAAGGAGGTCTGGATTCATCCTCACACTCTGTTTCTCATGTCTCCACAGTTCCAGACCACCACACAGGACGAACACAATGAGTGACAGCCAGAGAAGCTGAGGAGACCTGTCACACGTTGTCTTATCAACACGTCAAAGGGCTATCTGCCTCTCGCCTCTCCCTCCTCCATCAGCCTCCCTCAAGCTTGTCCTCTCCTCAATGGACTGCGAGCCCTAAAGAGACACAAAGAGTAAAAAGAAAAGAAGACGCCTTTAAGAAGACATGTCTCCCCATTCCCGTTGAGCGAGTTTCTCTCAGTGGAAGCGGCAGTAGGAGAGGGGATCCTCGCTTAAAAGTCTTTCTAAGGAGAAAGGGCCTTAGAGAGGACCAGTCATGCGTCTCTATTTGGCATTGGCGCTTCAGGCGTTGTGGACTGGCGTTTGCCAAGCTGCCATGCAGCACTACCCTGCGGCTTGGGGCCACTACGACGTGTGCAAATCCCAGATCTACTCAGACGAAGGACTAACCTGGGACTACATGGCCTGCCAGCCGGAGACGGCAGACATGACCCAGTACCTGAAGGTCATGCTTGATCCACCCAACATCACCTGTGGAAATCCTCCTGAGACATACTGCGCACTGGTGAGTACACGCATGCGGCCAAGCCTTTCTATAAATGGCGTTGCACACAACGGGTCGGTGGCACAAGGACTTCCATGAGTTGTGCCCTCCAAGTAGCGACAGACGATTGGCATCCCCTACGTAAGCATGAACGTGGCAAAAAGACAAGCAAGCTTGCGCCGACCGACGTCACGTTGCGCTGTCTCGAGAGCTCCTCCTCGGGTCTGTTGCTGACACTGATTACTCACACGAAACGCGGCGTCATGTGACTTTGCCAGGGAAAACAAACACCATCCTTTCAGTAGCACTGCAGCAATGCGACCGTAACTGGTAAAAAAAAAAAAATGCAAACGTACAAAAGCACGAATGAATGACATCAAATTGGAAGCCGGTATTTGAAGAGTTAATAAGACTCATCTTTTTTTGTTTTTTTGTCAGCCATTCATTTCCTCGTCTTCTAAACTAATGAATGAATGAACAACTGGAGGATTGTGAGTGGGATGCATTGTAGTCACCTGTGACCCCTGCAGTGGTCGTAAATGTATTCTTATCTCGATCTTCCCACTCTGCTCCCAAATAATTTTGTACATAAATTCAAAGTCAAAAAACAACTGGGTAACAACACTAAGCACCGTTTAGCAAATATTCTTGGGATCATTTTATGTGTCCCCCCCGCCCCCACCCCTGCTTTGCCACCCTCCAAAAAAAGGGTAAGTGCCCAATAAAAGCAATGATTGGTTGATTAGCTTTTAAGACCTCTTTGATGCATCTGCAAATTATCCGGCAATCATGAAAATCACAAGCTCCTTGTGGAGTTGAAAAGAAAAATGATGCATATTAGGTCAAGTATTTAATCAGCAAAGCAGCCTCCTCCTTATTTGAGGTCCTTATCACTTTGAAGCACACAGCCGGTCGCCCCAGATTGCTAAATGATGAATCACCTTTGGTCTGTCGTGTAAGTCATCAAAGATTCTCTAAGAACAGGCAAGCAGCTTTGATAGGTTTTTAGATAAATAGCGAAATGTTCCAGGAAGAAGAGTAGTAACTCGAGGAATATAAATAGACTCAAGTAGTCGTCAGCGGAAACTCAGCTGAGGCAGAAAGACAGAGAAACTGGAAGAGTGGAGTGTGGGGGGGGGGGGGGAACAAAGGCGAGCAAATGATCAAGAGAGATTGGAGTAAGGCAAAAGCATCTGGGATTCACAGACCCAAAGGACGATGTGCGAAGCCTGCAGTGACTGAGTAGCTAATATTTCCTCCGTGGGCCACGATGGAGACTCGAGAATGTGAATAATTCAACATGTAGATCATGTCTTTTATTCAGACTGCGCATTATTCTACTGGACATATTTTAGGCAATGTCCACACTTACGCAAGCATTTTGGAAAATGTTCTATGTCTCTTAGTGTTAAAAAAAAAAAAAAGTTTGCATCAAAACCCATTAATAGGCCGTCAAACAACAGAAGCCCGAAAATGGCACAAGAGACAAGAAAAAACAAAAACAAACAAAAAATGGCCAGTTAATAAAAAGTAGCAACTGTCAAGTCAAATGCATCAAATTATTTAACGCCGTCTCTAGTGACTTATCTGGAACAAATCTCCTTGGATGGATTTTAAATACAAAAAAAAAATACTTACCGATGCATTCAATTTTTCTTTGGACTTGTCCTCAAGCTCTTTTAGAAAATACGGGGTTCTCCGCCTTGCGTTGACTCCACGTCTAATTGAGTGTGGCGAGGTTAGCGGGGTGAAAACGATTGCTTGTCATATCAAATAGGCCATTGTCAAAACAGGGGCCCCTTCCATTCGCTGACGGCTCATTTGTGTGACCCCGGATTGATCCAAAGCGAAGCCTTGAGTGTGTCTTCCTGTTTGCCTTTGTAATGGACGAATGAATCACAGATGGGCAGGAGTCGCGCATGTCGGAGGCTTCACTGGCACTCTTCCGTTTCTGGATACACATGCGGTATATCGTCGGCATCATTGGCAGCCTTTTAAACTCGGAGTACATTTCTGAGAGTTGACGCCATCCTGTTGTCCCTGCAAATACGGCAGACAATGTGACAAGAGCCTCAATTAAAAAGCCAGTGGGTAGCTTAAATGTCTCCTCGCTCGAGTCCATTGATGAGAAATTACATAAAGTGTAACAGTCACACATCAGGCAGGCCAATTACAGCGGAGTTCAATTTTCAAGTCCAATTAAAGACCAGAACATTTACCTGTGACGTTCCTGTTACAGTGCCAAGATGTTCCGATTCCAACAGGGGTTTGATTCACAAGCATCGTAGAGTTAGGGCAATTGCAGTTTCATCGACGCGGGAAGTGACTTAACACTTGTACAATCTGGCACATTTTAGGTGATTGCTTCTGCGGAGCTGAAAGTAAAGGACATCAAGTTGGATATGAGGGTGAGGCGGTGGAGCAGCTGGAGGCCATGCTGCTTATATGAGTATTCTTATGTCTGCCAGAGGCCTTCATCCCTGGGTCACGGATAGAGGAAAGCTGCATCAGATACTCCTCGTTGCCATACCCGCTGGCACGTTGAAAGCTTTTTTTTTTTTCCGTTGAAGAGCCGTGACCTTTCAAATAGCAATAAGACGCCAATCATCCAACGCTGCTACACAAGTCGACCGTTTGATGAGATGGCGCTGTCCCCTCAAGTTAATAGCGTGCCGACAGGTTGCGCAATCTCAAGCATTTTGATGATTGAAACGGCAAAGCACTCAGCAAAGAAGCCTTGAGTTGATGAAAAGTCTTATTTGTCACTGTGGAGGAGGCTAAACTCCAGAGTTAACAATAGAAACGTCCGCCAAAAGTAACGTCACACTTCACAAGGTGATTTGAATCGAACAGCCTGGCAGTTGTTTTGGTTCATGTTCAAGTCATCAAAAGAAGCGTTGTATCGACCAAAATATTAAAGTTGCCCGGCAGTTTTTGTGTCTCGATGACACATTTGTTCAGTTAGGATGAAGTGGTTCAGATGGCTGGACGGATGTATGGAGAACCCCGTGATGTCGTTAAGGCTGAAGTTTGGTGGCTGACTCGACAAAGCCTAAATAAGGCAACAGTTGCTTGGAGGTTACTGAGAATCAGCTGATTTGCCAAAGTAGTAAAGGAGGTTTAATTACCTGCGAGCCTGCTGATGTGACCCTTTTGTCAGGTATTAGTCAGAGCACATGAACTTCCAAAGAGACAAATATAACAGTTGGCTTATTATGGAAAATTATTTTGAGATCTCCAGAAGAGTGGAGCAATCAAAACAGGAAGTACAGTAAGTTGTGTGCGATATGTGACCTTGAAACATTGCATTTTGTACCATAAATGTACTTTAAATGTCCCATAGGTGCATTATGAATGTTTATATGTTCTGTGATTGACATGATGACCAGTCCAGGATGTACCTTAACTCTCACGAAAAGCCCGCCGGGATAGGCTCTGGCTCACCTGTGACCTTGAAAAAGATAAGTAACAGAAAATGGATGCATGGACGGGCACAACCACATCAACGGGCTTCGCTGAACAGATTTTTAATCATCCGGTGTGTGTCAAACCAGTTGTCTAATGTGCAATATGTGCCGAATGGAAGCTTGTTAAGTGGAGTAGTGACGGTTGTTCACTTTTGTTACCCTTGTGAACTTTCATTCCGATAACCCAAAAGCAGTGTTTTTTTTTTTTTTTTTAATTAATCTCTTTGATAGTTTCCAGAACGTGACATGACCACAATATGATAGGAAATGATGGGCGAGGGGGGGGGGGACAACTCTATTTATTAAAAAATGCAAAGGGGACGTTTGCAGATCCTTCCAGTGAGAAAAGTTTGGAAGTATAAACTTGGTGAAAAGTTGGCTGGCTGACAACATCAGGTGTTTTTTTTTTTTTTTTTGGTGTGTGTTTGTGATGCTGTGAGTGTGCTGTGCGTGCGTGTGTGTGTGTTTCTGTGTTTGTGTGAGAGACTTGTCTATCTGGGTGCCATCAATGCATTCAGCGTTGCTCCAACCGTTTATTTTGCCACAATGCGATAACAGGGGGCCTCCTTGACTCCAGCTTCCCACAGCCTCTGTCGGCTTCTTTTTCAAGTCGGTAGGAAAAACATCTCTTATTCTGCCCAAAAACAATGAACAGGCAAGCTATAGATGTGGAAAACTTTGTAAATGTTTGAATATGAATTTTAGAGTGTTTGCCTGTGAATACAAAGAGAGCTTAAGGTGGAATTGTGTGGATTGGCCCCTTTTGGAAACCGACTGCATGAAATAATTTATTCCATATCTTGAAATGACGTTTCGTATGACAGTTGCCATCAAGTAGCAGTGGAATACGAGTCAAATATGGATTATCTCCCGGAGATTTTGCCTCTGAATATTTTATAGGCTTATTTAACTGAAACTCGGAAATCTCACATTGTCTCAGTGCGAAACGCTCTTGCAGCTCACTGACTTTTTGGACCAATGGATTAGCCTCCTTGAACTTTCAATTTTCGCTGACATTTTTGGCCAAAATCATGTTGCTCGATTTTCCTTCATTATTATTTACAGTGTGTGTGGTCCCTAAATCTCTCTTGCAGATATGGGGCAATTTGTTTGCAATTCAGAGTTAATCATTTCTGAAGATTTACGATGGGAAGACATTGCTTTCCTCCTCCTTTTTTTCTTTTCACATTGGATGCTCACAGAATTTATAGCGAAGCTATCGTGTTACTTGTAATTGCACCTTGTAATCCTGGAATGAATTTCTGCTGGGATACTAATTTTCACAGCAGAGTTTGGGATAACAAATGCAAATTCGATTCTGTAGCATCTGGTGGCTTTTGCATTGAGAGGCACTTGTGATTTTATTTCTTGACTAAACGTTTTCAGCGCAGCATTTCTTTCCTTTTGGAGCAATTCTTTTAATTGGATGAATAGGTGGCAAATGTGTCTCCACGTTGCAAATTAGTCTGAGGACTCATCAATGATGTTCCATTACAGTCTTCAGAGGTGATAAGCAGTATGCGTCACAAGGTAGTTAAGACGTGCAAAATAAAG